GTGATGTCTACAGCTTCTTTGAAATACAACTTAATGGGAATGTTCATGATACAGTTAAAAAACATTACATTAAACTGACTATAATATAAATGCTAAATAATGGACATATTCATTTGATTGAATTTATTAATAAAACAGTTCTCTACCTTTGTTACAGGTGTTGATGCAATCCTGGAAATACCTGCATTCACTTTATTTAAAGGAGACTCAGTGACTCTAAACTGTAGGCGTCGTAGTACTCCAAGAAATGAGATGAAAGCTACCTTTTTCAAAGACGGATCACCTCTTCAAATGGACAGAGACCATTACTCTCACAACATAGGAGAAATAACCATTGATCCAGTGTCAGTTTCAGATAGGGGCACTTACAAGTGTCAGTTTGATGATGGGGCAGAATCTGAATCAAGACAACTGCAGGTGGAAGGTATGTAGCTGTCAATGTAATAAAATAAAAAGAATAACAAGAATAAAAAGTTCACAAAATTATCTAATAAGCTTTCTTTTGCATTTCACTGTCTTCATTCAGTAAATATTGCTTTTTTTTTATCTTGCAGTAAATGCTACATGAAGTATTCATACTTTTCAAAAATTACTAAGGAAATGCGGATCTACAAGTGAATATTTTCTCTGCTCTCATCTAACCAATTAATAAACAATTTCAAGGCAGAGAGAGCTCAGTGAAACTTAATGAAACTGAAGCAGATTAAGAAACACATTCACTGATTTGACACTGGAAACTAAAGATATATGAATACCATTACTACTTGTCAGTGATATTGTAAAACAGGCTAATGTTAGATTTTGATTGCATAGTTTTATTATTGCAGATATTGGATACACCTAGCGTCACCTAGCTAGCATCATATGTCTTGTATTTAAATTTAATTCTGTTTTTGTTTTGTTTTAAGCAGTGTATGTGTTGTACAACTGTTTAGTATGTTTGCTATGTCGCTTGTGTTCTTTCGATTTGCATCTGTTTCTTAAGCTGCAGTGTGTTCTCTCATGTAGAATCACACATGTCTGGAGTTTGATTATGTAACAGTGAATTTAAACAATGATGGTTTTATTTGTGTCATGTTGAAATGTAAAGAAAACTTTAACAGCATGTCCATTACAGTAACTTTCCTGTTTTAATCTTTTTGTTTCTTTTTAAACTAAACAGCACGTAGACGTCAGGTCACACTGACAGCAGACAAGACAATCATACCACTGGGGGGCAGTGTGACACTGACATGCTCTGTGGAGGATCCTGCTGGCCTCAAATATGAATGGTTCAGACAGACGTCAGACACTTTTGGAAAAACTTCTCTTCAGACTGAAAACCTTGATGACTCACACACAGTTATCTCAGTTGGAGGCAGATACACCTGCAGAGGATGGAGAAGGGAACCAGAAGTCCTCACACCTGAAAGTAATGCAGTCACCATTCAGGAAACTGGTGAGTTTATTAATTTGCTCTGGAATAAAACAACCTACATTCTTAATGTTCTTTAACAATGCCTAAGGTGTGGAAGCAAGCCACTGTTAGAAGAAAAAGAAGAAGAACAAATAAATGATGTTAGCTCAGTACTTTAGTATTTCAGTATTTTACAGATATTTATAAATATCTGTAAAATATGTAGTTCTGCTGAATGTTTTACAGGAGCTGAGATGACAAATTGTGCTGGAAGGTAAAAAACGTGATAAAGATTTTAAGTTGCATTAACTTTAAATCGTTTGGTTTTTAAGCTTGGATATTTTTTCTGTCAACAGTTCCCAACAGGGCCAGTTTGACTCTTCAACCCAACTGGCCTCAGATATTCAGTGGTGAGACGATCACTTATAGATGTGAGATTGATGGAGTTAGAGACACTCAGTGGACGTATGAATGGGAACCAACCAGCTCAAACACACAGTCTCCAACACACAGTGAATACAGGATTATCAGTGCTACTGTGTCCCACAGTGGAGACTACAGGTGTAAGGGTAGAAAGGACTCATATTCCTCAACAGACTGGAGTAATGCCATCAGATTGAATGTATCACGTAAGTTGGACTGTTATTATTCACACTAAAAATGTCATGTTTTTATGTTTTTATTTGTCCAAATGAAACAGCAGAAAACATTCTCTCTTTAACAATAATGAAGTCTCTTGCAGGCAGCTCAGTAAGAAATTGTGTTTTTTAGTGGGAAAAAGAACAACTTTAGAGGAACCAGCATACATTGTACTGTTGAATTTTAATGATCAGCGAAGAACAGAGAACTATGCAGTTGTTGTCCAAGTCATTAATAAATCACATTGAATCTATGCTGAACTCACCAACAGGGCACCAAGCTGTGAACATTCTGTATGGGAAGTATACATGATCAACATAACTATTCTGTGTCCACTGAACAACTGCACAAATAATACAATAACAGTAACTAGTTAGCAATGTGGTAACTGTTGACCAATAAGAGTCATATGTCGCATTTTGCTTGTTTAGTTTTTAATCCTGTTTGTTTCCAAACTGGACATTTTTTTACGTCAACAGTTCCCAACAGGGCCATTTTGACCCTTGAACCCAACTGGCCTCAGATATTCAGTGGTGAGACGGTCACTTTCAAATGTCAAATGGGGAGAGGTGGAGACACTCAGTGGACATATGAACGGAGAACATCCAGCTCAAAGACAAAGTCTACAAAACACAGTGAATACAGGATTATTGCTCAGTGGTCCCACAGTGGAATATACAGGTGTAAGGGTAGAAGGGACTCATATTCCTCAACAGAGTGGAGTTATGCCATCAGATTGAATATATCAGGTGAGTTCATACTCTGTTTTCACACTGAAAATGTCATGTTTTTATTTATCTAAATGAAACAGGAAACATTTCTCCAACAATAATAAAGTCTCTTACAGGTAGCTCATTAAGAAATTATGTGTGACGGGTTGTGTTTAAGTTGGACCCAGAAAACACACACACACACACACACACACACAAGGGGGGAATGAGGGGCAGCCTCAGCAGGAGCGGGTTACTAACTAACTAATTTGTACTAAGAAGTACACACATATAAATTTAAATAAATAAATAAATAAAATAGCTTCAAATGACAACGCCAGAAAAAATTTACATTACATTCAAGTTTAACTTAAAGAGAAACAAGGTGCTTGATTGCTCGAGCTACAATGACATAATAAAAAAGTGCAAATAAAATGTGTGTGTCTGTGACTAACGTTAACCCACTGCAGCTGCATCTTCTAAATAATGCCGCGAGTGGGGAATGAGAAAGTGACTGCGACTGCGCAGTGCGCTCATGCAGCCCCGAGACTCAGGAGACAGAAATATTTCAAAATAATAATAATAATAATAGCGAGACGAAATAACGTTATAACATTTCGTCTCGTCTCGTTTTGGTCAACGGAAATGAAGAGATATTTTAGGAGAGTTTTTATTTTGCAAACCACAATAAGTCCTGTTTTATCGTCATATGACCACCATTTATGTTGCGTCTCGTCTCGTTTCCGTTACGTGATAAAGGTTCGTTCACTAACAAAGACCACACCAACAGCTGTATGGATTAAGAAAAGTTCATTGCACGTTTATGAATGAATGTGGAATGCTGTGGGAGGAAAATGGTTAACGAGTGGAGGGGATGAAGGGATGAAGGGGTAAGGGTCGAGGGATGAGGAGAAGGGGTCGAGGGATGAGGGGGTATGGGAAGGATGGGTGAGGATTGATAGAAAGGGAGGAAAGACTGGTTAGGTAGATCGATGGGAGAAGTTCGGCGAACTGGTCGGATGGAACAAAGAGGGTGCTGAGACGCTGAGTGGGGGGAGCCGTCTCTTTGACTCTTCAAGAGCCCCAGTGGTTCCTGTATTTTGATAAGAGAGGGGGATAAATTAAAAAGGGGGGGGATGTAGAATATGAGAGTTCGGGGCGTGGTCTTTGTTCCCGAACTTAGTTATGAAACTCCATTTGACGACGATTGGTCATAATTGACGAAAGCAACACTACTATGCATATGGCCGGCTGCAATTTACTGAGTTCAAATAAATACCAAATGTACTAAAATACTGTATATAGTGTTTTTATTCTTCATTCAGTTATTATAAACATCTTTGACGTTATAGAATGTAATAGCTTTATAGAACATAAAAAATAACGTCACAGTTACTTTGCTGAGTAACTAATTACTTTTACAATGTGGTAACTGAGTTACTAACTCAATTACTTTTTGGGAGAAGTAATTTGTAACTATAACTAATTACTTTTTTAAAGTAAGATGCCCAACTGTGGGCACAACACAGTTTGATTGACAGTCAGGGAAAAGAGAGAATGAAGCCAGCATCAGCAAGTTCCATTTTAAAGTAACCACATTTGTTCTCCCGTCCAATCACCAGCCACAACCTGCAATTCAACAAACTGAGGAAAACACAGAACAGTGTGAAGAGCACCACCCTCAGACAGGAGGGAGAACAGCACAAACACTCACAATCACTCAAATACAAATATGACACAGAGTCATAACAACATGATGAATCTTTAATCAAACAATCAAAACACACAAAAAAAGATTTATCATGTTATTCCCACAGATCACAAATGACAGTGTCACATTTCACAAATGATTTCTGCTTGATGATAAATTTGCAAGTCCCTATAGGGCTCACCAAACTATCATATTTGTTTAAATTGCTGCTTAAAAATTAGGAAAATATCTCATGTTGCAAAATGCTGCTTTCTTGTTGCAAATGTGGTGAATTGTGCTCCTGGTTAGTTACATTACAGATACAGACCAGAAACAGCAACAGGGCTCCTTTTCAAGAATTAAACTATTGTGTATCCAGTCTATAAATTAAAGGCATGTTAACATTTCTTACCTGTGGGGGCTGCTCTATTTACATTGGATTAAATCACAGTGACAGTAATTTCCTTTTTTATGTCTTTGTTCTAAATTAAACAGCACAAACACCAAAGGCCCAACTGAGAGCTGATGACACAGACATTCCTGTAGGGGGCAGTGTGACCCTGACCTGCTCTGTGAACCCATCATCATCTGGTTGGAAATACTTCTGGTACAGAGGAAAGAAAACCTCTGAACCTCTGACCACACCAGATGTTGTCTTCCTCTCAACTGGACAAATCAGAGTCTCACAGGGAGGACTCTACTGGTGCAGAGGAGGAAGAGGAGACCCAGTTTACTACACAGAGTACAGTGATCCAATCAGTATCAACAAAATTAGTGAGTCTGGAATTTATTTTTGAAACCTATAATTATCTCATTTTCATAATAAATTATTTACAAATAGGCCAATGGAATGATGTTCTCATTTTTGTATCTTTCCTGTGAACAGCTGCAAACAAGGCTGTTGTGACTCTGCAACCAAACTGGTCTGAAATATACAGAGGAGAGAAGATCACTCTCAGATGTGAGATCAAGGACGGAGGAGACACTGAGTGGACGTATGAATGGAAAACAACCAGCTCAAAAAAACCTTCAAATCAAAATGAACACAGTATTCGGTCTGCTACTGTATCCCACAGTGGAGAGTACAGGTGTAAGGGCAGAATGAAACATGATCAACAGTCTTCAACAGATTGGAGTGATCCCATCAAATTGACAGTATTAGACAGTAAGTCTCATCATATTTATTTTAATATTATACAGTTCACTAAGTGTGTTTTAAGTAAAGTAAATCTTCAAGTTTGTATGTACTGATTGTACAGGATGTATTTGATCCACTATTGATACATGTTTACATTCTGAAAAACCACTTTCCAACAGAACCTCAGTCTGTCCTCACTGTGTCTCCATTATGGCTGAGTCCTGGAGACTCTGTAACTCTGAACTGTGAGGTTGAACATCCATCTGCAGGATGGAGGTTCTACTGGTATAAGGCTGTTCCTGATCTATCATCCTACTACAGCTATGAGATGCTACCTGGCAGCAGCAATGGGACTGAACGGGATTCCTACATCGTACATGGACCGACACACACAGCAGGATATAAGTGCAGAGCTGGAAGACGAGATCGAGTGTATTACACTGATTATAGTGAACGCAAGTTTGTCTGGTCTGGAGGTCAGTTTGTTTCTGTCTGTCCTCTCAAGAAGCAGATGTTATGTCATCTAGTTTCTGTCTGTGACCAACATACAGTAGCTGTCTTGAAAACTAACACCTATATTAACAAATAATTGGTGTGTACATTGAGACATCCGTGGTTTCGGGGTGGTTACTGTTTTTTTAGTCGCCTCTCTCGGACCAGCGGGCTGCAGTGCTCGAGTACCTCCTCATGAAGACTAGAGGGGAGTTATGGAGCTAGATTCTTGGTTAGGTAGTCAGATAGAGAGAAGCCCAGTAGGAGGCTGTGTCTGCCTTTTGTGCACACTGGTGGGTCCTAACACATTGCATTCCCATTCTCCTGTGTGCTCTTGTGATGAAGTTGTAAAAGCGTTTCTAGCTGAATAGGTTTTAGATGAGTGTACAAAGGATCAGTTGGTTAAAATAGCTGACTATTATAAAGCTGATGTTGGGGATAGAAGAGTAAAATAGACAGTGATGTGAAACTTGAAAATGAATTTGTTAAAGATGAATGTGTTACTGTTGTAGGAAGAAGCAGTCTCTGTTGGGCCCTGCAGAGGCTGGTCCTTCCTCCGTGCTCACTGAAGAGTCCTGGTGCTAGATTCACTTTGGAGCAGCAGAAATAGTTGCTTGTGTTGCGCATGAAATTAGAGATGGAGAAAAAAGTCACTGTAGAAGATATGCGACAGGGTACTGAGATAGAGAAAGTACTGTCGGTTGAACTGCAGAGAGATAAATTGATGTTGATTAGAGAGGGCAAACATGCGGTTGATTCTCTGCTTGGCGATAATCCCGCTGTTCATAGCAGTTTGAGTATAAGAAGACTTTATGATATTTCCAGCTTTCCACCTTAATATGTGGTGTTTCATACTGGACTGGGCAGAATTTTCTTGTTTCCTTCTGTCCTCACTCTTTAACTTCATCACGAATAACACCAAAAAGAGAGATAAGAGATTTTTTACTGAAACTTAACCCGTCTTTGCAATGAGTCAACAGGCAGTTAAAAAAGTTAAACAATATGCTGGACATCTGAGAATACTCTGACTAATAAGAGGAAAACACTGAATGTGTATAGAGACAATGCAGCAACATGAATCCCCCTGTATCTTTGAAAGATGGCAAATAAACGTAGAACATTTATCATTTAAAATGTAATCAAATGGTAGCTGGTTTTCAAGATGGACATCATAGTTTGACCAAAATCACTGCACTGTGTTGCAATGTTTGCACTAATCCTCAACAATAAACTATAATAGCAAGTTAATATTATGACATTATTAATCTTAAAAACACTGTGCTCTGTTTGATCCATTATTACATGTTGTTTTTCAGATTTTCATCCATCAGCGTCTCTCACAGTGAGTCCTGACAGAGTGCAACACTTCACCTCTGACTCTGTCTCAGTGAACTGTGAGGGAAACTCTGCTGAGTGGAGAGTGAGGAGGTTTAAAGACAGCTACTGGTCACACTGCTCCTCCTGGGGGACAATGACTGGATCCACATGCAACATAGACAGTAACCAGCAGAGTGATGCAGTGTACTGGTGTGAGTCTGGATCAGGAGAGTTCAGCAACGCCGTCAACATCACTAAACTGAGTATGGTTTCATTATATTTTCTTTTATAAATTATTTTAAACATCCCATTATGTGTTACAACATATATTAGAATTATGTTGTGTACAACATCTACATTACATTACAAAAAGTTCAATATCCATGTCATGTTGAATTGTTGTTCCTAAAGATTATTTTGCCAACAAATGTAGCCCTCCTACTCAATTCTAATTTGTAACAAAATGTTTACCTTGATTACCTTTAAACAATTTAGCATGGGAGGTGAATTGGTAGGAGCCTACTAAATATGACATTTCTCTGCATTTACTTCGACTAGATAATCTGATCCGAGAGGCCAAGTTCAGTTAACTCCCATACATACTTTTTAATAACCACCTTCCTTTTCAGTACATAAAAACACAATGTTTACTCAATTTGCAATATGAATAATTAGTACACACACAGCTTCAATGCAGAAAAATAGGGGAACATTTATTCAACATGACCCAAATAAAATGTAAATAAAATAAAGAAAATACCCGGGGTTTTTACTTTGTTCAGTTTATGGTACCATGAATGCTGGCGCGCAGTTGGAGCTCATATGAAGATCTTTTTGATTATACTCACACTGGATAGAAACGTTGTTTGTTTAGTTCAAAACCTCTGTCCACTGGCAGCTGATGAAAGTTGTGCTCCTCCATAGCAACGGCTAATGCTCGTCCTAGCAACAGTCCACACGAGGCACTTGTCTTCTTCGTCCTCTTAGCAGAGTCCAGACTCATAAACACCCTCAGCGTTTTTAATTAAAGAAATAAAGTAACTTTAACACTATTTTATAAACTTATGAACAGCACAGTGTTTCTCCGTCTCTCTCTTTAATCCCGCCCTCTCAGAATCCGGTAGTTTACCCCATACTCATCCCTAATAGACCCTGATTGGACAAATGACAGATTGACACCTGAATACTCAAATAAACAACAAAACATACGACAGGAGGTGTTCAAGGACTGCTCAGAACACAGGAAAATTCATCATCTTCTGAAAAACATAGCAAATATACATTTCCCTGTATTAAACACAACTGATCTCACATCAGTAGTAATTCATATATTTGTTAACTAAAACCCTCATAAAAGAAACAATATGTAACCAAAAGTAGCAGGGTGCTACACAAATAATATGCAATAAGGTATACAATCAGAAGTTCTCAGTACAGCAGTATAATTCAATCAGGTGCTGGTCAAACACAGATAATACCAAAGAATCATCTTTGAATATGTTACCTACTGCCACCACCAAAACAATTCTATTAATAATTATTGAATTAATTAATAAACATAGTTAAATATTTTTATTGTGATTTAAACATGTACATCAGCACAGTCTAAGCTTTTATCTCATTCTGTTTCCACAGAGAGCACAGTCACACATCTCTCCTACAGAGACTGAAAACCATTTCATCATCTTATTATGATGAGGATTGGATGTAGTATACAGTAGATTTATGTAGCTTTATGGGTGATCTGTACTTAAGTTTTCAGTGTAGTTTGTAGGACCTTGTAGACACCTGCTGTTTATTTGGTAAAATTATACTTTACAGACACATAAGTTGTATGTACAAAAGATAAAACATCAGACTTTATGATCACTCTGTAAAATATATCAGTGATGTGTGAATTCAACCAGCTGATGTGACTGAAACCTCATATTCTTTGACTGTTTTACAGAAACAGATATTATCCTGTTGAGCCCTGTCCATCCTGTGACTGAGGGAGATTCTATTAGTCTGAGCTGCAGATTGAGAAGACAAACATTTGAGTCCAATGTGTTTTTCTATCTAAATGAGAAACTGATTCAAAATGATACCAGAAGGGAGCTGAATATCTCTGCAGTGTCAAAGTCAGATGAGGGTTTCTACAAGTGTCAATACTCACAACAAGTATCAGCACAGAGTTGGATGTCAGTTAATGGTGAGTAGGATTAAACATTTTCTGCATTTTCTTTCATGTAAACTGTGTTTCTGTTTGAGAAAGAAACTTAGAGGCAAATACTGAGCTGAATTTGAAATATCTTTAGTTTTCTAACCTGTTGCATTAAGTAGAAAATACTGTTTCCTTCTGAGCTCAAGAAAGCATCTGTATCAGTGATTGTGATAGTCATGATAGTAATTTATTTTATTCTAAATGTTTACTTGTGTATTAATGTGTGTAATCATTCGGCCGAGATAATCGGCATCGGCCAAAAATGTCTTCAGACACGTCTGCAGGCAGCCTTATCAGTGTGCCTGCTGGGGAACGACATTAGCACTCTCCCTTTTAGGCAAGGTAGTGACAAATTGGTTTTGAACCCCACACTTTAACTCGGTTATAGTTATATATAGTTATATAGTGCTGTAAACGTATGCTTGAATTTCCTGTAGAATCCAATATACATGACTTTTCTTTGTTTTGATATCAGCATCCTATATTGGCCATCGGCAGCCCTGCTCTCTAAATATCGGCATCGGCCATTAATTAACCATATCGGTCAACCACTATTCCTTTGGAACAGGATTTTTTGTGTGTGTTCATGCATTTGTGTTGTTTATACCTATAAATTTGTAAATGTATAATTATGTTTTGTTTTAGGGCTTGATGTGACATGACTCTCATCTTTATTAAAGCACTACATTCAGTTTCAGAAAAGTGCTATACAACTTTATTAACAGTTATTATTCATTATTATAGCAGTGTCCAGGCCTGAAAGCTCTTCCTCTCCTGTACCGTTGATTGTTGGGCTGGTTTGTGGAATCATACTCATCATTCTTCTGCTCCTGTTGTATCGCTACAGACCGTCCAAAGGTGAGAACTTCTTCTACTGCTTTTATTATTCAAACACACGTATATAATAATAGAACTGTAACAACTCACAATACAAAACCATGTAACAACAAATGTCTTTTATTCACAGGTTCATGGTTTATCAGGTTGGTTGAACACTCTCTTCTCTCATTTTGAACATACCAACCATACATTACATGTTCCTATTTATATGTGTTGTATTTGTTTCATGTTGTAGGTCAAACCAGTCTGAGGGCATCAATCAGGACTCTAACACAAATCATGTGGTCAACCAGAATGAAGCTCAACGTCATGACTACTCCACTCATCTCCATGGTTAGCATTTAAACTAATCTTGGTTTTATATGTATATATTCACACATTTTAAAGACACATTTTTAAAAAGGATCTTTAAATAGTATCATAAGTTTGATGAGATTACTTTGACCTTTGCTTGATGTTCACTGCTCTGTAGGTGATGCTCCTCTGTATGAATCAATCAAAGGCTCTGAGGACACTGGAAACGGTACAGTTCATCCCCAACACAATGTAAAAATAACACAATCAAATTTAAGTGTGTTCTGGAAATAATTAAATTTAGCTTCAAGTTGTAAGTTTTAAAACTAGATTAAATTACTTAAAATAATATTAGTAATATTCTTGTTTCTAGATAATGTTCAGAGCTTTTACCAAACAGGTCTTGAACCTGCAATCTATACATTTGGAGATATGTGCTAACTATCGTGACTTTGGTGACCCTCTGTCTTTTCCTCTAGGACCACCAGCAGGTCAAAATTTAAATGTATCCAGCATTGGGGTTTATGACATTCACAACAGTGGTTGCTGTACTTTGTGTTAAAGCTCTGTTGTACCTGCAGCCTCACAGGTCTGCTAGCATTGCTGTAGACTCCTGTTTATTAACAGTGAACATTGTGAAAATATCACCTCTGATGACACATTTGACCAATAATGATGGAGTTACTTTAAAGTTAGTTCTGTTTCATGAAGTTACTACATCATTGTTACATACATCTCAAGTTGTATGGTCTGTCCTATTCTTGTTTATATTACTTTCATCATCAGAGAATGTTGTTGGATCTGATGATTATTCTGAGATTAGAGGTTTAGACTATAAAGGTTTTGCTGTGGCAGAACAACTGCATGATTTAAAGGGACTGATTATGAATGATTGACATAAAATCTTGTAATTAAAAATATGTAGCTTCTATTTCAGGTGCAGGTGGATCCCAGGATGTCACTTATTCTTTGATTGAACTTAAAAACTTTGGAAAGAAGAGTGAGTAGGCCTACTTTAAATACCTACAATAAATTAAAAATAGATTAGCGTTGTCTTGAACAGCAGTATCTAAAGAACAATGTTTTATTCTTTTTGGATTAATCTGATTATTTTAACAGGGAAGCAAAAGAAACCAGAGGGGAGCGCTATTTACTCTGATGTGAAAACAGCAACTGCAGGTACCGTCAGTTCCAACCATCATGCTCAGAATCTGTATTGAAATGTGTCGTTACACAGGAGGTCATTATGGGTCAGCATGCAGTTCAATTAATGTCAGTCACCTTGGGTAAATACTACATACTACCACTCTGCATCACCAAAGTTGTCAATTCTCACACATATTTGGGAACCTTTTAGACTTCTGGGTATTTCTGAGTTTGTCTTGTTTCATGGACAGTATGTGTAATTTGTTTCCAATTGTCTTCCATATCACAGATTTGGCACAAAACTGAAAACAAAAATAACACATTAGCATCATTATATTTTGATTTTGATTTCAATATAAGATGCTACTGTACTGTCATGAAAAAGTACAAGGGCATCCCAAATAAATGTATTTTATTTTATTATATTTTATTCCTCATATTTCTTGCATCTTTAGTAATGTATTTTTATTATACATTTTATACACTAAGAGTACATCAGTAAATTCATGTACCTGTCAGTTCAGCTCATTATCTTTATTAATTATGACATTACTGGCAGTTGTTTAAAACTAAACATCCCTCCATTCACAGGAAAATCACCTCCTGCAGCAACTGCTGACGCTGTATATGCTGAACTTAAACCAGGAACAGCTCTCGGTAATAATGCTGCCATCTGATGTGCTTACTGTAATGACTTATTCTACAGATAATTAAATGGGTGAAAGCGAGAATAACATGTCAGGACATATTTTGTACAGTTAATTTCAGCAGATTATATAAATGAATTACATCATATGGATTTAGTTACTACTTTTAGCATAAAGCATAAGCATTTAGATGTTTTACAGTTATGTATAAAGTTTTTGTGGGAAACTGAATGCAAGCTGTTCCAACATATATGCGGTATATTTAAGCTTTAGTATCCAGGTGATAGTACAGCTTTAAAGTCAGCATCTTCTTCAGTGTTGGATGAGAAAGATCCAGGATGACCAAAAACAGTTATTTATGTAATTATCTGTATTGGACAATATATCTCTGCCCATTTTTGGATGAGCCGGGAGCTGGTGGAGTCAGGACTGCCAGAGCCGACCTCAATGAGCTTCACAACGGCTCTTCAGAAACCTATGGGTGCCGTCACAAAGACTATGTAACTGCTATTTTTAATTATACAATCTATGGTTTTCTTCTGTCTATTTACATATATATTCATTGCAACTGTGTGTAACAAATGTTATAGCTTTTGTACTCTTAAAACCATTTTGACACATTAATAAACTATTTTTCCAGCAGTAAGCTGTCAGTTGTCTTTTTATTAGCTTTTTGACTGGACAGCAAAACTAGATAAGAACATCCCACAGTAACCTTCTTCTGACACTATCAAGCTTGTCAAAAGCAATGAAGGGGACAATGACGCTATAGAGCAGTGGTTCCTAACCTGGGTAGACTTCTTTATTTTAAGGGGTATTAGAATTATTAGGGGTACATATACACAGTAGGCCTATATATAAGCATTTTTTTTATTCAGTGAAGAAAACTCTATGAAATTGCTATTTTTAAAGTTTAGATAGACTCTCACAGGATAAGGTCATGGTGAAGCCACATTCACAAAGCTTTCACTCTCTGGTCAACAGCCTTATGCTGCATTGAAAAACAGAGCTAATAGAACAATGAGAAGAAAACACTGAATATGTCAAAGAAGAAGCCTATTAAGTACGTTTGATTGTTTAAAATGATTTAATTACTGTGTTTTTTTAGGAATCAACAACATATTACACATCTGGTTGGTGACTACTATCTTAAAAATCTTAGAAATAACAGGACGGTGAGTTATATGTCCATAGTTAACTAAAAGTCCTGGATCAGGAGTGGGCTTTTTAAGAAAAGTTTTAAGTTACTTTAAAGGACTGTGGTACATAGTCTGATAATGAAAGACAGATTGAGGGTAAGTCTTCTTTAAGCAGCCTTGTTGCGATGGAGACTAAGAGACAGGTTGATAGCTTAGATGAAGAATTCATTGAATTTATTTGCTGATGGTCGATGGGAAAAAAGCAGCCTAAGTATATATTTGGTTTTACAGCTGTGAAGGTGCTTGTGTTTGAAGATAAATTAGTACCTGTTGAGGGCAGGAGGTCATTCATTTTTTCTCCAATAGTTATAATTTATCAATAAAGAAGCTGTTGCTACTAGGGCCTACAGGAATACATGGCTCAACAGAGCATTAACTCTGTCAGTCTGGGTACAGGGTTCAAAGAAACCTGTGTCATGTCTGTCATAAATATTAGTGTTTTATTTTTAAATCAGTTTTTCATGTGTTACTTCCTGTTTTATTTTGTAGTTTTCCTCCTCTTGTGTTGCTTTATTTCCGGTCTGTCTTTTTCCCGCAATTTTGCCCCACCTCGATTGTGTTTACCTGTGTGTCATTAGTTTCCTCCTCACTGTATGTTGCCTGTGTTTCATCCCCTCTGTGCCCGTTTGTTGTTGTGCCTTTGTGTCTTGACTTACAGCCCTTTTGTGTCGCTAGTATTGTGTTTTCCATGGTGCTTGGATGTCTGCCTGGTTTTTGGACTCTGCCTCAGCTTTTTCCTTTGGATTTGTTTGCTCGTGCTGCCTGACCCTCTGTGTACCGACCCCATTCTGGCAAGTAAAGACTGAGTATTTCTGTATCAATATCCTGTCTCCTGTCATGCATTTGAGTCCAGTTGCTTGTGTTTCCACTGGTCTTAACAACCCATAAATGCTGACCAGCTACCTTTAATGAACCTGAGACACTTCATGAAATCCTGCATCATTACACCATGAGGAATAAAGCTGAAGTTTAAGGTGTCAGTACTACGTCTATCACTAGATTATATAAGTGTGAGCAAGTGCTGTCCTGTGCTTTTAAGAAAGTATCTTTTTAATCTTTGTAATATTTTGTATCCAGTCATTTTAATTGACCATATATCACTGGTTAACCCAGCATATGTACATGAGTGCACTGAGACCACTGACAGTGACTGAGACTCATGCATGGCAGGCCTAGATCTTGTGGTCTGACTATAAAGAATTATTAATTAAGGACATGTAACTAAATACGTAATACACATGTAGATTGTCCATGTATGGAGTGTATCCATAATGAAGGCTTTGCTGCATAAACATATCTGCATAGATATGTTTATGCAACACAAGCTTTTGAAGTAGCAAGAATAAAAATGTGTGCTTTAATTCAATATTACATCTGTAAACAATGGGGTATTCAACTTTTTAAACTTTTGTTTAAATTAACATTATCAACCACAGATTGAAATGCTCTAATGTAAAACAAAACATGAATGTCAGTCAGTCAATATACCTGTTAGAGCCCAGACATTGTGTAGTTAAAATGGAAGCTATTCCCATAAACAACCACCAGGGGGTGCTGAACTACCTTAGTTGATACCAACAAAATGCAAGTACTGAAAATTAGTCTAGAACTACAGCTGCTGTAGTTAAGTTTAAGATGCCATGTCAGGATGACTCATGAGCCACATACTCAAAAAGCTGAATTACTCTTGCGCATGCTTGTCCCTAATACTCATACCTCTGACTGCTTCAAAGCTAAACATATTACCCTGCTTTGCTCCGTTCCCAGGGTTCAGTTCCTGGTAGCGATGTGTTCCATCTTTAGCACCACACTAATGCTTGAAACTGGTTGGTTTTTGCACCAGCATTATGTTTTAATTAACTAAAGGATTTAACTGGTTTGGGTCAGCAGATATGGATATAGTTCAGTCGTCAAAGAATCAGGGTAGGAGAGAGATCCTTAGGTCCGTGAGTTTTATTGTATGAATCACAGTGGACAGACACATACATGCTGATACCAAGGTGACTATGTTTGTGTGGTCTACAAAAAGAATAATGATAGGTAATCATGGTATATAAAATGAACATGCAACTTGCTGAAAACATGAGTACATTATCTTTATAATTTACATTATGGTGATTTACACACAACCAGTGGGTAGAAACTAGAAGAATGTGTCTGGGCTTTACACTGCTCTGCATGCAGTGGCTGCAGAAACTGAAAGTCATAATGTAATTATTAACAGGTTTATTACCTTGCATTGTACTCAGAAGTCTCAGTGTTTAACCTGCAGTGTTCTTTTCTTCTTTTCTGACACCTTAGCAATGGTGTGAATGTGTGATAACACTGTCCAATTCTTGCTATCACAGCAACACATATCTATGTTAAAAGTGGAACAAGAAAGTTGTTTATTTTTCACTCATGCTTATACAATTGTTTCTTCTTAGGCGCAAGTTGAGAAATAATCTTAGGCTAATGGAAGAAAACACATGCAACAGTTTATTTCAGTATATTGCTTATTTGATTTCTGCTTGATGTATTTAGTAGTTGTATGTAGTTAAGGGTTACATATGACACTGTAAGATGGCACACAACACCCCTATATGTTTACTAGGGAGATAAAGTCCTTGCCCCTCTCTTAGCCAGCATGTTGCACTTACAAGTTGCACTTGTATCTGTAATGTAGTTGGTTTTCAGTGGCACAGAACTACACACTTTGGCTCTGTAGCAGTACATACTGTATAACTATAACTAATATAATATATCGTTGTGATTCTGTTTTACATATATAACGAATATATTGCATCAGGGCACAAATGAAGAGGGGCATCTGTGACATTTAAAACTACACAACTACGGAAGTGTTTTGGTATTTCTTCATATTGGTATTTTTGTCACATTTAGTTACCTTATTTTCAATAATTAATACAGACCTCTTCACAAATTAAGGCTTTGGCTTTGGCCCACATGAACTAAATGTTAAGTTATCCTTTATTGATCCCCGTAGGGATATTCATCCTCTGCATTTAACCCATTGTATTAGGAGCGGATCTGAGCCAGTGCCTTCCTCAAGGGCACTGACTAAAGAATTAACGTCACATACATGTTATGATGGTGGGAGAAACTGGAGCACCCAGAGGAAACCCACGTAAACTCGCCCTGCCCCAGCTGGGATGTGCATTTTGATAATGCTATGAGGGACTGCCCTCAGTGAGACCTTATCTGTGTGGAGGCTTTTGAATGAACACAAAGCTACTGTGAACTATTAATGTCACCCAATATTTTTCCTTTTATTTTAAGTTCAGCTGTGATTAAGGTTCTTCAGCTCCGGTGGATCTTGAAAAACATTTGGAAAACATTCTGCTGTTACTGTCGCTGTCCAAAGTGCTGATCCTGGGCCCTCCAGGAATGCTTAAACTGTCCTGGGTAATGACGCCTGTTGTATTTATAATTAATAAAGTGCCTACCTGTCTACAGTAATGTTACAGGCTTAGTTTCTACATTTTTACATTTACTTTTATTAATTGATGTTGATTTTTATTGTTTTTATTGTATTAATTTTTGGTCTTCAAAATGTTATACATAGATTTTTTTATCTGTGTTGTGTCAGTGTTGTTATGTAAAGCACTGGGCTGCATGAAAGGTGCTATGTGAATAATAAGGGTCGTTAAAACATTGGTTTCAAGTTTGGTCGTGACTTCACCCACAGGAAGTGACTGAGCTCGGGTAAAACTGAAATGGTCTCACAAACAGAATAAGTGTGAAGAGAGCCAAAGCATGACATGGTATAATGGAAGGTACCCAAACTGAATTTCATAGGACAGGGTCTGAATACTCATTTTAATGTGATATTTACATTTTTAATCAGTATTTGATGGATATTGAGCGACATTAGACATTGATTAAATGATTTTAACGTAAGGCTCCAACATAAAATGTGAAGGTAAAGGGGTCTGAATATTGTCTGAATGCACTGTATAAAAACATACATGAACATTGATCTAATTGCAATACAGGCACAGTGGATGCAAGAACAGAGGGCAAATACTGCAAAACATGAATAAATGAATAATAAAATATTAGTTTATGATGTGATATGATTAAATTCAATGGTCTTATGTTTCATTGATGTACAGTGATTACTTGTTTTTCCTGCCATTTTTTATTTCAAAATTGTATGGATCAGGAACGAACCTTTGTACAACAGACAAGCTAATGTATCTTGCCAATGGGCAGGAAGTGTAAATCTGTCAAAGTATGCTGCGGTCAAAACCACTGCAGTGTGAGTTTTGTGTAAAAGGACAGGAAGGAAGAACAAAGTTATACTCAGAAGGAGGAGTTGATAAAAAACTCACATTTATATAAAATGTAACTTCTCTCTTTGCTTTATTTTTGCAAAGTAGAAACATTTCCTCAGAAGCGGAGCAGCAGAGCGACAGTGTCGGTGCTGGATGTGAAAATGGG